GTTACCTTACCTTCAGTGAACCCTTGCAGAGTGTGGTTGAGACGATTCGTCACAATATCACAAGTGGACGGTCTTTTTCTTTTGCACATCCTCTTTTTGGTCACCGAAATGACCTGGTGAATTGTGGCTGGAAGTGGTAAATTCGTTTAGACATGTACATAACGTGACACATTCGATACATCAATGCTGGTTTTGGAATTTCTGGTCAACTTTTGGTCTCATCTGGATCGCAATTCTAGTGCATAAAATTGCTAAAGGGAGAACAGCCACCTGTGGCAACGCGATCCATTTGATACTCTTGCTCGTGGAAAATACTACACAGTCCCTTTCCCTTTCGCTCTTCAATGTCTTGCGGCAATACCGCCGAGCCTACTCCTCAGTCCCGGACCCGGGCGGAGTCTCACCATCCAACAGCGGCTTGACACAGTTGGAGGATGCAGCCAGCTGGAGTAGCGCAAGCAACGATTAGCAACTCCGTCCAACCCCCATGTATTGCACACATCCGAGTTCGTGATTCACTTACATCAGTGCGTTCACAGCACATGGCGAATTGCCCGTATTCATAACAGATATCCCTAAAGTCCTCAACGTCGGTGGGGTCGCGGGAAGCTACAGGTAAGACAAGTCAGTGAATAATTACCTCGGTACGGTGCGATGGATGCTTTTGAAAAGCGGCCCGGCAACAACTAGCGAGGTCACGGAAAAGCCCTGTACGCTAAATCACAGAAACAAACGAAAGAATGGTAGATTCGAAACTTACGAGGTCGGCAGTAAGTGCCGGAAGAATAATCCGCGAATGTTACACTACAGCAAATCGGCGTTGCCCGGACAGCATCAAAACTGCAAATTCCCTCTTCTTGACGCTCAGTGACCGTGACCGGCGTGGCCGAAGCCAGCGCGGCGGACAGGATGGTGAAAACAGTCGTGGAGAACTTCATTTTCGGTAGCGTCTGGCGAGTCGAGATGGGCAAGTGGTGGCGAAAGTGTCACGGCGAGGGTTACTGACTGCTGAGAATTGCAAAGAATTAGACTTCTAAGAGACCGTTCACGGCTGCGGCCCCCGGGCTTTAAATACAGGACAAAAATGCCATTCTTTTCCGAATAAAGACTGATGTTCTCCAGTTGAGTTATCCCAGTCCCACCTCGTCATCCATCACAGATCAATCCCGATTCATGGCCACTGTGGCAGCCATCGGGTCCCAGGACTGCAAAAAGAGTTCGGAGCAGGTGGGCCGCCTGCGGACAAAAGTGTCTGAGACTCGCTGGAGTGTGTACTGTGTAAGACATTGATCCATTTACAGGCCGGATCTCCCTGAACTCAGCTTGCATCGATCCTTGTCAAAGACATTCGTTGTCATTGAAGGGGCTCTCGGCTTGAACGTTGGAGCCCCAGGCCTTGGCTAAAAGGAGAAAAAAACACACACCGGCCGAACGCTGAAGATCCCCGAGCAGGATCTGGAGAAGCACACCCCTCCTGGCCACTAAGAATGGGCTGACGGGCCCGATTCGTTGGAATACTGCCACATGATGCCTGCCACGGTGGACATGCATCAAGATTGATAATTGATGATCAACGAGTTAGATGGCGGTGGGGTGCCGTGTTGTCTTAAAATGCCTAAGACTGCCTCTGAAACCTCTCTGCCGGGTTTTGTTCCACAGCAGCTTCAGTAACTTACCTGAACCGACCGTTCTCCGATAACAACAACTCCAACCGTGCTCACTTGCTCCCCCTAATCAACATAACAAAGTCGCCGAAAATGAAGTCTTCCACGACCCTATTCACCATCTTGGCTGCCGCCCTGGCTTCGGCTACCCCCCTCGCTGCCGTCGAGCGGCAGGCCGGGAAAGACGTTTGCCAGATACCCCTGGGGAAGTCATAACCGGTTTGCTGCGAGGAATTTGATCCTATTGCGGGAGCCAACGAGGATTGCGAAGCTCGTAAGTCTTGTGCTTTTGGTTGCCTGCTTGGGTTTAAAAGGTGTTGGATATGTAAGATGGTGATTAACTTGTTTTCTCTGCGTTATAGTTGACGCCGAATCGTTTGCCTCCGTTAAGGAGTTCAAAGACACGTGCTATGACCGCAGCCAGGTGCCCTTGTGCTGTAGAGTCCCTGGGGTGAGTGGATCAGAAACCCCATATCTAATATATACATATAACGCAGCAGGGCCTTTGACAGTTTACTAACCGTCCTGCGCGCTGTTATAGTCTGTTTCTCTCGGTTGCATGCCGGCGCCAAGGAGTTGAAGGCAAAGTGGAAACCAGACTCCACCCATAGACAAGTCTCGGGTGTGATGCCGCGAGGTTCAGCGTTGGAAGCAAGGGGCGTGGGGTTGTTTCACGGCCAGGCAGGCTGAGTGCAGTATACTCTTCAATGAATCGTCGGGGTTCCTTATCGGATTTCTCTGTTCTCCTTTGGGTGACCTTCCATGCCCGAATGCTTGGCAGGGCGGAATCAAGACCACCAGGGACACTGAATTGCCAATTCTTCAGCGAACCTACCTTGTGATGAATGTATTCTGTACTTTTTTTCGCCAAGTACGCAGTAATTAAATCAATATGGAACTCGCTCTCCCCGGACTCAACTTGCACAAACCCTGGTCTGATCCCCCGGATCGTGTCCTTGGAACTCACAAATCAAGGCTGCAAGGGATCCAAGCCATGGTTTCTTATTACGTCAGTTGCTGCAAAATGTATCCACCCGTTCCAAAGTCTGGTACGGAATAAGCATGTTCGTTAGGGCTTCGTCGTTCCCGTTGGTTCCCAGGAAAGGTGGGAGTCCTTTGCTACCGTGGAATGACTTGGAGTCAAGAGCCAAAGACCAAGCTTTTCCTCTTCGAAGACACACCGAGCGGTCATGTGTTTCCGGGGACAGCGCACTGCTGTGATCTTCACCGTAATTTGTCGGTCGCAGCTGAGCGTCGATCCAGCCCCCGTTGGCACCACCAGTTTTTTCTGCTGGGAACCAGTCAGGAAATTGGGCATCACATTTGTGGGTCGTGATCGGGGCTGGGCGATTCCTAAACTTCATTCTTGACTCTCCATCCACCAACAATCAGTGGGACCGAACAAGGCTTGCCAGCGATCTCGAGCCCGAAATGCCGAGTTCATATTGGAAATTCAATCGGATTCGTCAGCATCACGTGTCATCGGAGTATCTTCTGCGAACGGATTCCGAGCTCATCGCCTGCGGTTGCTTGCGCCTGGGGCTTCTTTCCGGATGTTGCAAACAGGAGGTCCAATCACAACAGAAGATTGATTTCTTTGGCGAAAGAACACATGTGGGGCGATGGGTGGTCGAACTCACTGCGTAGTTTCTAAGAACGCGACGGGTGCATAATGGCGCCACGGGGTGACAGACGGGGATATTCCAGACTGAAATGTAGACACCAGGTGGCGAATGGTTTGCTGTGTTCCGGTTCCTGATGGTAGCAGTTTCCGATGGCATATTCTTTGTCCATGCGCATCACGACAGGCGGTTAAGGGTCGCCTGACACCAGTTTTATGTTGACTTATTTCGACTTCCATTCGCAACAACGCGTGTGCGCTCGGAGATAGTGAACCTGAGAATCTCTAGAGGGTTTGATTTCATCCCGGCCGGAATCGTCACGCGAAAGAATGACCCGAGAAACAAAATCGAGGTTGACGAGGGACTGGTGGTGATCCAGACTCACTAACTATCCTTCGACCTGGCTTGACGTTCAACACAACACCGTGCCGTTTGGTTCCAGCTCCCAACATCTCGCAGAATTGTGCCCGACACTACTTCTGCCGCACAATCGTACAATCGTTGGACTCGGTCTAGAAAACGTACAAGCAATAGTTAGCAGCTGTCAAGCTCCTCTTCCATCGCATGTGCCGGGTCTGCGGATTCCCTTGCCCCTGGCTTGACGCAACAAATGGCGAATGGAGATTCTTGTCGTTTGCATTCGTTGAAGGACTCCTGAACGGTGTTTGGGGACCCGGCTGTCGAGCAAGCAAGTTAACCACCTACACGTTTGATTCGATTTACCTCACAAGCGGGGCAAACGGACAAGGCACACGAGATAGAGAGAGAGCTTCCGGAACAATCTAGGGTCCAACTTACCGGTTTTACAGCCGGCGCCGTTGACGATGTCGCCATCAATAACAGCCAGCTGGCAACACACCGGCTGTGAGGTCTTAGACGTGGAATTGCACGCTCCTGCTTCTCGTCTCTCGATAGCAGCGAACGGTGTGGCCGAAACCAAGGCGGCATACAACATGGTGAACAGGCCAGTGGAGAGCTTCATTTTGGCAGCATAGTTTGTTGAATCGGGCTGGGTAAGCGGTTGTGTTGCAGTGTGGTGGAGAGGGACACGAGATTACACAAGAGGATTGCTGATTGCTAAGTGTAAAAAAGAAGAAAAAAAAACTCATTTTTAAGAGACCCTTTTGGCTGTGACCCTAGGGGGTTAAGTACAACGGGGACAACGAATCATGTATAATGAAAATATTAGTTCTTTGCAAACTCGGACCGGTGCTGCTCTCTGTCTCAGTTATCTAGTTGATCTCGGCATCACTTACGGATCAAGTCTAATCCATATCTATCGGGGCAGCTATCGAGTGCCATCATTCCTCAAACTCGAGTTAATCAGCCAAACTTTTGTGGCCAAAAGACGACTACCTGAGCCTCGAAGTGTCCGAGACCAAAGCGGCCAAAACATTGAGTCCAGACTCAACTTGCATCGATCCAGTCCGCTCCTGTGTTGTGTCCAACCTATCCTTTGAAATCAGAAAGCAGTGCAACAAGGTGTATGAGCATCAAACCACCCTATTTCCCGTCCCCCCACTATCTTCTTCATCCAGCCCCGTTCAGTGGTATAGGACATGTTTTGTTCAGCCTTTATTTAAATTGGCCCGGGTTATATACAGTAAATGTAAGGGGTAAACTAATAGGTGCCGAGCACACACCAGGTTTTAAGATCTCAGGCCTGGGGCTTTGCTTGCGCCAAGCCCTGTCATGAGCCAGGGCCGATGGCCTCGAGGAGGCGTGGCAGGTTGGCCATCTGCAATTGTTGAAGAAGGACAAAAAAGGGACAAGAATAAGGGACAAAGAGTAGAGGTTAGGTAGACAGGTCATGGTAGAGGACTGAGGTCACTGGGAGGGGTCGAGACTCGGGAGGGAGATATCCCACACCTTGTATGCCTTAAAGCAACCCGCCCTCGTACTTTGTATTCTTCCCACTCTTTGGCCTTTTGACCTCTACTGCAAGGTCGCAAGGTCATCATCCAGCACATCCATCATATCACACTCATCTATATACACATACATGGAGTCCTTGTCGACGATGGCAGTCTCGGACGCCCCGTCTTCCCAATTAATCCCCTCTGGGGTGGGGCAACAGCTTGTCTCTATCATGGGCAGGGTCGGGGTCTATGAAAGTAGCAACAACCAGCAACAGAACTATAACGCGCCTGGATACTACGCCCTACACACCCATCCCATGATTCATAGCCGCTAGTGTAGCACTTCACCCCGCAATTGGGAGCCACCCAAGCAGCTCGGCCCACGCCTTGGGAAGCAGCAACAGAACAACAAGCTCACAACCCCTTCCCAGGCCTAGACCCCCAGCTTTCGGGTTACATACATAACGGTGACAACAGCATGCCTAGCTCGTATTCCAGGGACTTTGGTCCCTCCTCGGCCAGATTTGAAGGCCCCGAGTGTGGCTACAGCACCTCCCCAGGCCAGGGTAAACCGACTCTAGAGAGCGCCCGTCTCATGTCGCCCTGCAGTACAACCCTGAGCCTCAGCATAGACGAGCTCCCAAGCTCTCCCAACGACGACACCACCAGCCAAGCCCCGACACTCGTCGCGCCCGTAGCCACCGGCGCGCACAGCAAGAAACCGCCCCCTGTGCTGTATCAAGAAGGCTAGAACTAGACCGACAAGTACAGGGTAATGTTTGCCAAACTCATCTACCAGGCCTTCTTAAGTAGCCCGAGGCACGCCATGACAGTGCACGAGATCTACTAGTGGTTCAGCGAGGATACCGAGAAGGGCAAGGGCCTCAGCAAAGGTGGCAGAAGAGCATCAGGTACCTTTCCTTCAAATGCCTGAGAATCGGAAGGTCGGATGTATTTCCGAGGGTAAACTAGAAGGACCTTCATTGTTGGTCTTTCCCACCCTGCTGTACCTATTTGTGTCTGGCTCCTCGAAACTCATTCATAATAATCCCGAGATAATTTGCAACCACCACCTCACAACCACCGACCTTTGCTGACAGTTACAGGCTATGCGGGAGGCAATGGCACAATCAGGGACATTTTAGAGCTTCTGTCGCCTTCTTCTGATCCCTGAATTTGCTCATACTGTCCATCACTTGCCGACGACGAGCATTTCACCTTCCGGTCGCAACAATCCTTCTTTGAAAAGCCTTCCTGCAGCGCACTGGGCCTCGGGCCAAACCACAAGCGACAAGTTGTGAAATAGCGGCGCGTTGAAAAATTGAGGTTCACTCAAATTGGATGGAAGCCCCAACAAATTAAGGTGCCAATGCATCCAAATGACACAAAGACCAAGCAGCTGCACGGTCCATGTCAATGTCAAGAAATCTTCTCTTCGGTAATTGGGTACTTTTCAGGAATGCAGCGCGAGACAAGGTCAAGCAGGTGTTCTGCCTCAGCTGCCTGACTTTTTAGTGGACCGCCCTCCCACATGGCGCATTGATGCCTTCCCTGCCTGCGGAGCGAACCAGGATCCCGTGACAACGCGGCGCCGCTCGACCACTCGACCCAGTGGTTGCCTGCTCAACATGGGACGCGCCATGCAATTATTTACAACGCAAGAAGCGCCCATCTTTCGGCTGCCCTCGCCCTTTCAACCCCAAAGCATCACCTCCTTCAGTCAATTGAGACTCTGCAACAACCAAGGCGAGCCTGAAGCCCAGTTTGCAGCAGTGACAGAAGCCAACCGCTCCTGACACCATTCGGCCATCCACCGACCCTCTCCCCAGCATGGCACCTAGAAGGGGCAGTAAGCCCGCCCTTGATGGCTGCAGGGTTGCACTGAGTGGGACATTCCAAGGAACGACACATGCAACGATCAAGACGAGGGCCGAAGCTCTTGGTGCAACCGTCGGCAGCCGTGTCGCCGACGACACTACACACTTGATCGCTACCGAAGCAGATTACGACAAACCGTCGCCCAAAGTCTCGCAGGCGCAATCGTTAGACATTCACATCGTCACTCTCGATTGGCTCCAGACATGCGAGACACAAAACGCCAAAGCTACCGAAAAGTATTTTGTCCCGCATTGGTCGAGTTCGCAACAAGTCACAGGTTCATCCCAGTCCCAAACGACACCCCCCCAAACCAACAACACCACTACTGCACGAAGCACACGATCGCGGAAGCGTGCTCCATCTCCTGCTGCCAACGATGCGTCCGGTAGCGATGCCCCGCCGAAATCCAAGAAGACGAGGGGACGTAAGACCACCATGAGTAAAACCGACCCGGCTGATGATGATAGCGACGCGCCCGATGCGATCAACGGTGCCACCCAACCGGCCGACGAGAAACAATCGAAACAAGCAAAAGTGGAGAAAGCTGTAGGGGAAGGACAAGTTGCAAAGAGCAAGGACCTGCACATACCCCTTGATGAAGGGTGCCCCTTTTTCACATCAAAGGTGTACATCAGCCCGGAAGGGGTTATCTACGATGCCTCGCTCAATCAAACAAATGCTTCACACAACAACAACAAATTTTATCGGATTCAGGTAAGCGGACGAGATCGCGCGGTCAGAATTACTGTTTCTAATGTCCGGAGCAGTTACTACAAAGTTCTGGTGTCTTTCACACTTGGACAAGATGGGGTCGTGTCGGGGAGCGCGGCCAAACCGCATACACGTCCTCGAGCAGCTTGGATGGTGCAATGCGGCAATTTGAGAAAAAATTCAAGGACAAGTCCAGTCTCGCTTGGAAAGATCGTGGGAATCCCCCCAAGCCCGGAAAATACGCGTTTGTAGAGAAGAACTACGACGAGGACTCGGATGACGATGAAGGGGAGGGCGGCGACAACGAAGCCGAACAGAAAAAGGCGTCCACTTGGGAACCGCCCAAATCTGCGCTTGAGCCAGCCGTACAAACCCTCATGGAGCTCATCTTCAACCAACAATACTTCAACGCTACCATGTCCTCACTGAATTATGACGCTAACAAATTACCGCTCGGCAAACTCAGCAAGGCGACCATCACCCGAGGCTTCCAAACGCTTAAAGACCTGTCCGCTCTCATCGACGAGCCCGGGTTGGCTACCTCCGAGTATGGCACTTCGTTCCACAACGCTGTGGAGAACCTCTCAAACACTTTTTACTCGGTGATTCCGCACGCTTTTGGGCGTAACCGGCCTCCCGTCATCAACACGCACGCCATGCTCAAGACAGAAATAGAACTTCTGGAAAGCCTGAGCGATATGAAGGATGCGGCGCTCCTCATGAAGGTGGACAAGTCTGCTGAGGATGAAGTCCACCCGCTCGACAGACATTATCAGGCGTTGAAGATGCAGGAAATGACCCCACTGGACCCAACGAGTAACGAATACACACAGCTGCAAAACTACCTGGTGGAGAGCCGTGGTTCGACTCACGGACACCAGTACGCGGTTGAGTCTATTTTCCGCATCGAACGACAGGGCGAGACCGAGCGATTCGACGGTAGCTTTGGAAAAATGAACCAGAACAGGAGACTCTTGTGGCACGGCTCGCGCTGTACGAATTTCGGTGGCATTTTGAGCCAGGTACGTGACCGTCATTTTTTCCCATGGTCGGCGACCACCTATGCTAACCCGCCACTTAGGGCTTGAGAATTGCACCCCCTGAAGCGCCCGTATCAGGATACATGTTCGGAAAGGGTATCTACCTAGCGGACATGGCCTCCAAATCGGCCAACTACTGTTGCTCGTACATCTCGGGCGGAACTGCGCTGTTACTGTTGTGTGAAGCAGAGCTCGGCGACCCGATGCAGGAGCTTGTAAACGCTTCATACACAGCGGGAGAAGACGCCAAGGGGAAGGGCATGATTTCGACTTGGGGTCAAGGTTCCACCGGCCCAAGCCAGTGGAAGGACGCCTCCTGTGTTCACCCTTCTCTCGCGGGCGTGAAGATGGTAAGTCCTGTTGCCTACGTAGGCTCCCAGAACCATATACGACCCGCTAACAGGAAGCACAGCCCGACACCTCTGTGGTCCCTGGCCCGACAAATGTGCCGAACGCTGGGCTTTACTACAATGAGTATATTTGCTACGATGTTTCGCAGGTCCGCTTGCGCTATCTGCTGCGTGTTCGCATGTAAAAGCCGGACCTAGCTAGTTCAAACGGTTTGCTTGGGAATGGGGCGTTTGGTAACTCGGGTCCTATCGAGTCTTGTTGATAAATCTTTCCTCCTTCATCCTCTGCTAGTCAATCGACATTGTTAGGCACGTCATCGGAATTACTTTGTGCAAAAACTTTGGGCGATGCATGTGACGGGATACCCGGACGTTTTGGCTGTGGATCAATCATGTGACGCTAGCCACCTCGACCGCATCTAATATGGAGCACTTGAATCTGTCATGCTCGACGGACATATCGCGTGGTACTGTAGCAGCACCGATAGGTACACAAATGAATGGTTTCGTCTATATCTATGCCCGCAATGAATGTTGCACCACCAAGCCCCCAGGTTGAAGATGTCCAGAGCAGAGGTATTCGTAGCCCCAACGCCCATCGTTCTCCAAGGCATGGGGTGCATGCAGAATGCGTGCCCCACCGCCAAGACCCAGATGAACCACTGGGGCCAGCGCTGACCCTCCACGTTGGCACTCCGTTCCGCTGCGGTTCCCCCAACCCCCCACATCTCAATTGCAGCCCAGGATGAGCAAAGACTTGCCCTGAACCGCCCGGTCAGTGAAACTTTTTGAGCGGCAAATCCAGCATTCAGGTTGACGAGCGACACGCCGGGCCATCTCGCTCTCAAAAACCTAGCGACAACGCGATGTTTGCAGCAATCCGGGACTTGAACCCGCCTTCACACGACGACTACAACAAATTGCACAAACCGCGGGCGCCAAAACTGCAAACAAAGCAGCAGGGGACAGCACAGGGGAGGACGGTCGGAGGAACACAGCAGCGACAGCAATAGCGACAGCGAGCGGGGATTGACAGCCCGCGCGCCCCAACCGGCCCCGGTTGTCGCCGATGACGCACCGAGACACGCCGCAGCAGGAGCAGCAGCAGCAGCAGCAGCGCGCCACAGTCAACTCCCTCCACCAGCACCAGCATCAGCGCCAGAGGCAGCACCGGGAACCACCGCCTATTCATGAGTACCTCACCCCGACCCCAGAAGCGGACAAACACCTGCGTCACGTGTCGTGCACGCAAGGTCCGATGCGACGGCCGCCGGGGAATCTGCACCAACTGTGAGCGCCTCAGCTTCAGCTGCTCCTATGACGAGAACGTGGGCGTTGAAGTCGTACCCGGGGAAGGTAGCGTGGGCAATGCCATCTCAGTCCCTCGACGGCGCGTGCGCCAGGCTTGCCAGAACTGCCACGCCCGGAAGGCCCGTTGCAGCGGGTCGATGCCGAGCTGTGACCGATGCCGGGCCCAGCGCTTGGAGTGTGTCTACCGCCCCGGCAAACGGGCACTGCCTCTCCCCCTTCCAACCCCCACGGCCGCTCCCTCGCCCGGGTCGTCCGCCATGGACCTTGACTCGCACGCAAGTGGAGGGCAGAGCGCACCCCATCCGGACGACGGCACGTCCAGCAGCAACGCCAGCCCTGCCACCACCTCCCTGGATCCTACCGAACCCGATGAGGCGCTCGCCCTCAAGGCCTTTGACCACTTCTTCCGTCACGTCTACCACGTCGCCATGTTTTCCTTCTTGCACCGCCCATCCCTCATGGAGCTCTACCATGCCGGGTCCCTGGACCGTGCCCTCGTGCTCGCCGTGGTCGGGGTCACTTCGCTGCTAACAGACCTTGGCCCGGGGATGGTAGACTATGGCAATCGGTGCATTGATGAGGCCATGTCCCTCTGCTTAGCCGGCCTCGAGAAGCCAACCATCTCCCGCCTGCAGGCGCTTGTCCTCGTCATCAAGCACCGCATTCTCTCCAAGCGCTTTTCCGGCGCCTTTATGCTGCATGCCATCGCAAGCCGCTTTGCCACAGCCATGCGGTTGTACCAGGAGAATACTGATCTCTGCTTTCTTGCGCGGGAAGCCCGTCGTCGTCTCATGTGGACCATCTTCATGATCGACGCATCCATCTCGATAGGGCAAGCTGATGTTGCGCTGTGGTTTGACGCGGAACACCAAATCCATCTGCAACTGCCCTGTAATGAGCGAAATTTCGATTTTGACCTTCCAGACCCAACAGAAGGGCTGCGGGGCCCGGGCCCAGATCCCACCACGGGCATCATCCCTCCTATACCGGATGTGTTGGGACTCATGGCCCTGCATATACGGCTCTACTGGATGCGCACACGTATCCTGCAATGCGCCTCCAAGATGACCGCTTCGCCGTCGAGTGAGACGGTCGCTGCGCTACCAGCACAACTGGCCGAGTTCGCCACAGAGCTCGAAGTCTTCGAGGCGAGATTGCCGGCCTCGTTCCGGGAAAATGAGGCCAACTTCCGTCTACGCAGTTATTCCACCCGGCTCAACATCTTCATTACCACGCACCTGCTCTGGAGACAGTGTCATCTCGACTTGTATCGCCTATTCCTCCCCGGGCTCAAGGATGCGCTTTCGCCAACGGCATTGCAGCAACTAGACCCTCACTTTGTTCTGCACAAGCGCCGCAGCTGCTATGAGCATGCTCGCGGCATGGCCGACATGTTCTCGCAGTTGCTGAGCTTGAGCAGCACCTGCGCCAGCCCACCAGTAGCCGATCTCGATCTGCCAGGCTGCGCATTCCAATGCTCCAAGGTACTGTATCACGGCCTCCAGACCGACAACGCCTATCTAGGCTTTACCGAGGAGCGCGTACGGGAGCTGGCGAACCTTTGTTTCCGTGCTGCTCGACAGTCGACCCCTGGCCCCGCATCTACTAGTATTGTAAGACACACTCTCTCCCTTTCTCTTCTCTTCTGTCCGCGTGCTTCAAACCGTCCATCTCGACATGTGAGGAAAATGAATGAACACTTACCGTGACCAGCAAGCGGATATTGAGCGGCTCATTACCAACGGCCTATCGTTGCCCGAGGTACCGCTCAACTCCCAGCCGGGTCGTGCTCGTAACCTTGGGCCCGGAACAGGAACACCATACCTCGCTGCACAAGGTGCGACACTAAGGACGGAACACCCTGGACTCCAACAACTCCTAGGGCCGACCCCCTCGGGTGCGACTCCCGTAGATCAAGTCAGCGTGGGATCTATGCAGATGCCGCCACCATCTTCTCTCGGCCCAATCGCGTCTGCCTTGAACATCCCCATGCCAGAGGCAGCGGGGCCGGGTCAGGGAGCGGCCAATGCAGGTGTTGCACCGTCCCAAGCGAGCGCCATCACAACCGGGAGCAATGCCTTTGAAGAGCTGCCCGACGCGCTTAACTTTGGGCCCGAATTTTTTGGAATGGAGTCGTGGTCGGCCTTGTCGCACGGCTGGGCTGATATCGGGCACTTTACCGGTACTGGCATGTCATGACACAGTTTGCCAAAGGAGTAAAAACTCAGATCCAAAAGTACCTCCCTCGTCTGTGGAGGTAAGTGTTTTGGGGAGACAAGACATTTTTGTATTGAACCCATCGCATCGGGTCGCAATCACACCATTTCAGGCATGCATCGCGTCATCCCACCCACGTGCGCGTGGGGTGCAGGTTTGGCAAGCGCCTCGGGTCGGGGCGGTGTGACATCGTATTCCGGACAGACGCACATCAACACATCGTGGTTTCTTACCAAAACTGCACTTCAGGTGATCAAAATCTCCGTCAACGGAGAAAAGAAAAATTGGTAACGGGAACAGGGAGAAAGGGAACGAGTAGGCGTGGCAAATAACCATTAACTCGTAAAGGTATTAGGATGCTAGCTCATGTACCTCGTATAGACATTATAAAATACGCTATTTTGAAACACCGCTGTGTCCAACATCCACCATCCCCACATCACTCGCATTCTCAACTTGTCTCACCGCAACAGGGGACTTTCTTCTGTTGGGTCGGCGTCTTCGCTCGCCCGACGTGATCCCACAGCCACAACCGTGACACCCCGATCTAGGTCAACGGTTTGTTCCCGATAAATCCATCCCAGACAAACCCCCGCCCCGGGACCAAACACAAGAGAGCTAGCGAGAATGACCAGAGCGACACGCCAACCGGCTTCGATCAGGACCCAATAAAGCACCGTGAGGCCAATAAAAAAGGCGTCAATGGTGATAAACTTCAGGGTAGAGCGCGTCAGCTCCTTTCGGTCGTCGGGTTGGGTCAGAGCCCAAATAAAGTGTGCATGTGCCGCAACGGATAACAAAATGGGTGCCGTATATATGACCGCCGTGGCGATTCGGTTCGACTCCAGATGCAAACTGCTACTCCATGCGTCCCGCACGAGCAACACCCCCTTTCGAGTAACCTGACGTATAACCGAGACCCAGATTGGGAAGAATAGCCATACCAGCACCGTGGCCGGATGTTTCAAGACCAGCATCAAGACGGAGGGCAGGACATAACCCGCCACAACGGCGACGGGAATAGCCACGGCCTCGGCGGCTCTTGCTAGCTGCCGCATGGCTTCCCCAAACGTTGGGTCTGCCGGGCCGGAGAGCTGCTGCGGGACCCCGTTCTTCCGTGCTGCAATAATCTGGCGACTGCGGTGGAAAAAGGCCGGGATGATGACAAGCTGCCAGACGACGGCACCGCCGATGAGATTGAACACAAGCCAAGGCCCGGTCGGATACGCGATCAATGCGTTGGGGGAGTTGCAGATCCGGGCCGCCTCGACGGTGCTGATGGTAAGCAAACCGGCAACGAATGAGAGGATGACGGCCATGATGCTAAACGCGCGCGTCGACGCGACGGCTTCCTGGAAGAAACTGACGAGGAAGCATGCAGGACTCCCGAGAAGCGGGATTTGTGCGAGCCAAGGAAGACGCGACCGGGCGTGACACTGGGAGTAGAGCATGTAGGTGTTGGTGTCGCCGTGCGCGAAAAGAACGTAGCCGGTAAGGATGGCCAGCAAAATTGGTACCACGAGCAGATAGCGCAGGGAGAAGCTGTGGACTGCTGGCCGGGGCCGTTGACGAGTGATAGAGTCCATAATTCGGCGTCGGCGCTGCGTTAAACGCACTGGTAGGGAACCTTTTTTGGATGAAAACAATTCGCTCCGCCGGTTGGCAAGCAAAATCGTCGCTTCGAAAGTTGTTGATGAAATGCGCAATGTTTGTTTTTTGGTGGACCTCGGCGCCATCAGCTCCCCTGCAGCTCCCCGCAATGCCGATGTGGGGCTTGGTTCGAGCCCCGATGGGGCCAATGGGGGAGCAAACTCCCAAAGAGATGCGGGGTTAACGTTACACAGGGTTACAGGCTCGCTATGGTCAACAAACCAAAATAGATAATTATTAACCCCAACCTGTCAACATTCTACCATTTTTAATGGATTCTGACGATTATAAATGGGAAATTAGCAGCCTAGAAGTCTAATATCCATACAGTTATAACATCGGCTTGAAATCTTGTTTTCAAACTGCTTAATTACCGATTGCTTCATTTTTTTCTTTCCGTCTTCTTTCACTTGTTGGATTTTATTCTATTCCGTCCCCTTTCGCTTTTCTAAACTAGTTAGTTATTCCCTTTTGTCTTTTTTCACTCTTGAAGAAAAGTAGCGCATCCACTTAATCTGCCGCTTTTTTTGCCACAGTGAGACAGGAAGTCCGCGGCTTTAAGGTGAGCAAGCAAGTGGAACGGAATGTTCATCTTGTTCCCAACGCATTCAATTAACTAATTTGTGCTTCAAACTTAATAATTACTAAATCCGGCGACCACGACTGTTTGTTACCTGCGCAATCAACCTTGTGCGCTTTTAAGGTCTACCTATAAAATGGATTCAATTAATTTTCAGCTCTTGAAGGGGAAGCAAATCTATCGCACGATCGGCCACTGAGACCGCGCAACAAACACCGCACAAAACATCGGCATCCAACACACCGTACAAGTAATTTAGGAAGTCGCGCTCCAGGACAGCCTTGGGGGACCGTTCACCCGCCGCACGACCACACCGCCGCCTCACCCTAGTGAATCGCTAATCATTACCGAGCCTTATCCTGAGTTAGGTTCTTGTCGTTGGGCCTAACCTTGACCTGTTCCTGATATCGACATTTTAGTCTGACTTGCAGCTCGACAACGCCCAACTAAATGCGTGATAATTCCCTCATTAGTATGGTCGCGGCCCCCTCAGAGTGGCCGTCAAGCAAAGTGCAAACCGCACTTGCTACGCCCACGTGCGATCAAAGCTGACGGCAGCTCAGTCTTGATTCATCAGTCAAATACATCTACTATTGGGCCTCGGTTACCCCCAGCAGTCCGAGGTCATCAAGTAGGGTGACAGCGGATCTCGGTATGGATGGACACAAGGACTCGAATATTGATGAACGCACGCTGGCCGGGGATGCCGGCAGGATGCTGGGTGATAAACGTCACAACCGCCCACCCAAATCTTTTTTGCCCATGGTTTGTAAGACACAACAGCGCGTGTTGGTACATCAAGGGCAGCCCGTAAAGGTTAATTGATCAAGTCCATATACCCTGGGCACCTGCCATGTGTCATTCAATGGTGGCCCGCTTCTCTTCCAGAGTGGCTGCATTGTCTGCATCAGGGCGGCGTGATGGACCATGTGTCCCACACCTCTGCCGTTTCCGGAGGCAATCTCACCTCAGCCCCGGATGTATGAGTCCACAAAGCACACAACAACGGCTAAAAGGCTCTAGTGCCAGCACAGTGGCGGAGACAAGAGACTGTATCGCGTGCGGTGAAATACGGCGGCTTCAATATGACATTCACAGTGACAAAGGTGCCTTCTAGAATGTGCTTGACCGAACGTGGCTCATCCCTTAAAGTCAATGCAGTGTGCTGATATTCTAACGTTATCAGCATTAGAGCTTATTGAGGAACTTCATCGAACCGTCGCTGTAGCAATCATTGGTTGCTGTATTCCATAACTGCAACCCATCCGCCTGGGGCTGTGTCAGTCATCCGGGGACGCCCGGCCTGTAACTTTCGCAAGGAATGTTCTCGATAGGTAGCTGTCAGTCGCCTGATGTTATACTCCCCCGGAATGCGGGTGCGTAGCAACAGGTTCCAAGCGCTTACACCGAGCGAGAATGTGGTGGGTGGGCTGGGAATAACGAAACATAAGAGGGTAGGTAACTAAAAGTCCAATACCGATGAGAGGCTCTCGGACTCACGCATGAGCAAAACCAACGCATTACAAGTACGTCGGCCGTAAATCCTTCTTGCTCTCGGCCGGGACGTCTCTTGTCGAAATGAACTCGGCAAGCTCCCCACCCCCCATTAGTTTCTGAATCCATTTCTCGATTAATTATACCCCTTGGCCCCACGAACTCAAACCTCGCCGCTGACCATCAAGATGCCGGTTGGAATCCCGGATACAACCGACTTTGAAACCTTACGACGGACAGAATACAACTACCTGGACGCCCAGGACCATGTTTACCTGGATTACACGGGATCAGGCCTCACCGCAGCTTCTCAGGTACGGCACCACAGTACTCGGTTCGCCACTACCCTGTATGGGAATCCGCACTCCATCAATCCAACCAGTGCTGCGGCCACGGAGGCCATAGACCGCACTAAATCCAGGGTTCTTGCACATGTCAATGCTTCTCCTGGTGAATACACGGTTGTCTTTACTGCAAACGCTACTGCCGCAGCGCGACTGGTCGGCGAGGCCTACCCTTTTCACCGTGGGCGCGGACTTGTCCTGACAGCTGACAACCACAATTCCATCAACGGTATCAGGGAGTTTGCCGCTTCCAAAGGAGCCCAAACAAAATACATTCCCCTTCTCCAACCTGACCTTCGTATCAGCCATACGGATGTCACCTCTGCTCTCGGTCCAAGTCGGCGTCTTTGGCGTCGACTTCCAACTAGATGTCACTGCATGCTTCGAAGGTCTAGCCTAAACCCTAAATCAGCGGGCCTATTCGCATATCCAGCACAGAGCAACTTCAGCGGCGTCCGCCACCCCCTTTCATGGACCGCCCTAGCTCAAGAAAGGGGCTATCACGTCCTACTCGACGCGGCTGCCTACCTCCCCACTGCAACGTTAGACTTGTCAGAAGTCAAGCCAGACTTTGTGATAGTCAGCTGGTACAAGTTATTTGGCTATCCCACTGGGATAGGATGCCTGATCGCGCGCAAAGAGTCTCTCGACCTCCTTCGCATGCAACGGCCCTGGTTTTCTGGCGGGACTATCCAAGCTGCCGCGGCATCAGTTCCATGGCACACGCTTGCACCAGGAGCCGAAGCTTTCGAAGATGGCACCCCAAACTTCCTCGGGATCCCAGACGTTCACTTTGGTCTAGATTGGCTGGAAGCGATCGGCGTATCTGCCATTGGGGCTCGAGTTAATTTCTTGACGGGGCTCTTCTTGGATCGTCTCTTGCAGATGCATCATAGCAATGGAACGCCCATGGTGAGAGTATACGGGCCGATCAACACGGATATGCGCGGGGGCACGATCACGTTCAACTTTCTTGATGCAAGAGAGAAGGTGATTGATGACCGGCTGGTCGGCCTGGAGTCGGCTGCGGCCCGAATTTCCCTTCGGACCGGGTGTTTCTGTAATCCCGGGGCCGGCGAAGCTGCATTAGGCTTGGATAAATCGGTCGTCCAACTGCTGACAAGGCCCCGCAAACCGTTACGGAAGGTTGATAGGCAACTTGAGGCCCACGGGGTTGAAACGCTGGGCGCCGTGCGCGTTTCGTTTGGCCTAGCCTCAAACACCACGGACTTGGATAAGTTCTTTGGGTTCGCTGAAAAGACGTACAAGGACCGGATCGTGGTTAGAGAAGGGCCACCCATCCGACCGCAGTGTTGAGAAAAGGAGCGGAGAAGGGTGTAAAAGCATTTGACTTCGTACTATTTTCTCATGGATTCACTCGTTTTAATTAAGTTCCATTTCTTACCCCCAGGTGACGATACCTGCGCTCCTGGCCACCCCAACTCTCCGGCCCGTGCATCATCGTCAAACCACTTGATTCCAAGAAGATAGACATGTATCATGGCGGAGGTAATGAAACGCCGCCTATGCATTTACTTCTTGCTGAGATGTTCGTCGATAAAGTCGAGAATGGGTACGATGTACGTGTCCCAGCCAGGAACATCAGGGCCCTAAACAACTTGTAAGCATGGGCGCCGCTATACGATGATATAAATTCAGTTGCCTCGGGGTCGTACTGTATACTTCAAATCAAATACGTGGGGTTCCCCCTCTTCGTAAGACTCAACGACGGGGACACCAGCATCCTTGAGCACGCTGGCCATTGCGTAGCTCTGTTCCACAGGAACGTCAACGTCCCCGGTTCCGTGTAGAAAAGCAGTAGGGGGAAACAAATCAGCCCCCTTCTTGCCCTCAGCCGCTCGGTGCTGAAGAACCCGGAGAGGGGATACCGAACGAACAAATGCGATCAGCTCCTCCTCGCTCTGAAATCTTTCGCCGTGCAAAATACCCACACGCAACCCCTCGGCTGACGCGCTCAGGGCATACCTGATATGTAGTTCGGCCTGGATCAAAGCCCTTTCCGTGTATTTGAAATCGGTTGCCCACAACTTGCTGATGACAGTATCAGGGATGCGCTTGAACTCATCCCACGGGAGTGCATCGGTTACGGCATTTGCTTGATCACGGTCTCGTAAAAGTTTGGCAAGAGTCTCCTCCGAGAACCTGCCATCCCAAGGAGGCTGGGTGGCTCGGGTAGCACGTTTCTCTGGTGGCCCGAAGGCGCTCATGGAGACAAAGTCCACGACTCCATACATGTTGACGATTGCCTTGGGGGAGGGACTGGGAACATGCAGTCCCGCTAAAGTAGCCAAATGGCCACCGGCGGACTCTCCGGTCAGGACGTAGCGGTCAACGTCAACCTGATTTTCCCCGAGGATGGATGGGAGATTTGCGCGGCACCAAGAAATGGCTGCGAGGGTATCTTCTAGCTGTTCTTCGACCCCAGCTTGAGGGGCAAGGCGGTAGTTGTGAGATACGAAGTGATAGCCCCGCTGCCGGAAGCCGGGCGCCATCCATGGAAGCGGAGCAAAGTCTGCGAGGTGTGTTAACCTGAGTGGAAAGCTCAGGAGTCAAAACAAGAACAACGTCAAGATGCCAACATACGAAATCCACCGAACCACCCGCCTCCGTGAGTCCTAATTAATGCAAATCAGTAACTGTGATAATAAAGAGAAGCGAGCTCGGGATTGTTACACACCAAATGATAAACGGAGCCGGCTCGCTGATGGGAGTTTCGGCGGGCCATACACGGACCGCGAGTTCCACGCCACTTGGTGGTGTGAACGTGTGGTCGCTGAATCCCGGCGGCGCGGAAGGGGGAAGCGCGGAATCTTGTTTATCCTTCGTGGCCATATTGTTCGAGATACATAGAGCGGCAGCAGCTGAGATTTGTTCGCCGAACATGCGATTGCGCTGAGTGGAAAAGAAGCAGGGACCAGAATTCGGCAAAATCAAAGGCCACGGATACCTAATTATAAATGGTTTCCCCGCAATACGCCCTTTATAATACAAGCGGGCCACAACCGGCCAGCGTTAGTTATGGGTGAAATAAGTTTTGATCGTTTATTCACTAATTAAGGGATGGATCCACGGTGGCCAGAAAAGTAAGGTAATTAAGAGAGATGGTGACTATTTAAATGCATATCGTCCACACCTGGATCACAAACCTCCTGGACGAGTCACGAGCCGAAATCATCTTCACCTGTTATTCTCCCAATATAACCATTTTCCTCGAGGTCTTGCAATCCTCACCTTCTTTCCTTGCTTGCCCCGTTTCCTTTAGCCGTCATAACTGTCAGGGTGTGAACAAAACGAAGCTTTCCTTTCTCCACACGGAACTCGTGGCTGTCGGGAATTGTGGCAAAGCTGAGAAATACCGAAACCGTCCCGACCGTCTCGTCTATAACATAGCGCCGGTCCACTAAAGAAACGCCGCTGGGTATTCCAACATCGCACCGGTCGTCTGGGCCGCCATTGCCCGTGTAAAGACCGCCTTCCAACCGCGCACAGGGATGGCCCCACGGGACGACAACACTCTTGTCGCTGAAGATATCGCAGTAGGCGTCTGCTGCAGCCTGAATAACCTCGCGTGTATCTCGGTCCGCCTCGGGGATAACGTCCCAGTTCTCTTTGCTAGCCCAGTCAAGAGTGCTTGTCGCGTTGAACAGCCAGTCATCGGGCCCCGTGACAAGCGCGTCGATCTTGGACACGGTGTTGTCCGTGAAGTACATTTGGACGCCGATAACGCGTTGCTCGACGCCGGTGGCCGAAATCAACTCCGTGTATGTTGCGCATTGTGTAGTGTCCAAATCGTGTCGGCTGTGGTCGATTGGTAGGGCCGAAGCTAAAATTCCAGAATCGAAAGCGGCATCCGCAAAATTTTCTCGGTAGACTAAAGCGTCAGATACAGGCTGGAGCAAGGTAGGATCTCCCCCTTTCTGGGCGGCGACTAGGCTGTCGGCAGCCGTCTGGAGAAACTCGCGGGTGCAATCAGCTGCCCAAGTGAAAGAAGGGCCTACAGCCCAAAGCGCAAGCAGTGTAAGAGAGAGCATAGTGGGCAGGATGAATAATTCCTCTTTTCTGAATCCTGGGGTCGAGAATTTAAGAGGGCTCAGGGCGAGTAAGAAGGACAGTGGGAGGGGGGTTGATGATATGTCAAGTAGTCCATGGCACCCGCGGATAAATACCGAAATACTCGAGGTCATAGCATAGTATTCGGCCACGTTTAATTCCACACAGCCGTCCCATTTTAAATTTCGGCAGTTATCCTAGGCGAAGTGATTGGACCCCTGCAATTGCCCGGAGATCCCAGGGATGTTAAAGATTAACTGAGATCGGCATATATCACGGAAGCTGGAAGACCAGGAAACTTAAGCTTAGTCCACCTCGTTAACCAGGTCCGAAACTTTGATCTCCTTATTCCTTCTTGCCTTCAGTTCCGCTGCTTTCGGCACGGATCGGTGAGGCCGCTTCCAGAGGGTTGTTCCCAACCCTCGCACATGAGTCACTGGGGAACGAACAAAGAGGAAGGAACGCCCAGGCACACACAGCCTTTGATAATCCACAACCTAACACCAACAGGTAACAAACAGTTCTTTCCATATAGTGTAGTGGTTTAGCATTCCAGATTTTCAGCATCATGAATATTCTGGCGACCCGGGTTCGAACCCCGGTATGGAAAATTATGGCCAACTTTTTTTATGTGGTGTATTTTGGTTCCTAAGAACACAGTAACTATGCCAGGCTAGCTAGCCCATCGAACCACCCCCATCTAACCAACTACCAATTGGACAGTTCGCCTCAGATCTAAGACGATATGTCCCTTAGGTAAGTAACGCTGTAAAATTCAGCGTTCGCTTTTATATAGTGCTCCTTACCATGGGTTAGGTAGATATTGTGTTGAAGTGACACATTTGTTCGGCTTTAATTTGAGCAACTTACCCGATGTAGTCAGACCCCATCTAGTTTTTGTCACGTCCCCGGATTGTTTTGGTGAACAAACAATGATTTCCGGGCTACATTTCCTCTAGGTCCATCGCTCTCGTTTTCCAGCTCTTCCTTTCAAGTTTCATCGCAGATGCATCCATCCTTGATGCTTGAGCCGATATCTGGGAAACGACCATCCTGAACATTGCAATGTCCGAAGTCACCGAGCTTTCAAATCCAATCCCGTCTTCTGACCCAGCGCCGGCATACCGGCCTGCCGGCAGGCCGGCAGGCAGCCTGTGAGCAACCAGTTACCAGTGTTAGGCACTGTGTACTCAATTCCCGGGCCAGGGGATGGGAACTGCACCCCGACAACCCACTAACTTTCCCCCTTCGGTATTTAACGATCGTCTCAAGTTTATTCCATCAGATAACTTTGGGTGGCGGCATGCGGGCGAGGTACGGACCGTTGGGCATCGAGGGGTCTCTTTTTCCCAACATTGGTAGCCAAAACTCACGTTACACCGCAGAACCCTGTTTTTTCCCCATTTCTTCACATAGGTACCCGTTGCGCGGAGCCCCGGTCTGTCGTGGCATCACCAACGGCTTCCTCGGACTGGAAATGCGGCATGCCGGTCTACCCAGCACCCGAGAACATGACCTCGGGGACGGATGTTGGAAGGGTGGAGAAATGCCGCGCATCGGCCTAGTTCATGCTGCGGACTCGCACAGACATCCCATATTACAATATCGCAGTGCCCTGAGTTAGGCAGGCAAGCAGGTAAGGCAAACGATGGCGAGTAACAGTCCTCGTTTTCTACAGCACTAAACCTCTTAACGGCCCCCCACGCCTTCTTCACCGGTATCCAACGGGACGAAAAAGACCAATCCTCCTCGTCATTCGTGTAACCACATAACCGCCGTCAAGTCGCCGATAAGCTTTCTCGAATGGCCGAATCCTGGATTTTGAGGTCGTGACCTTCAAAGGGAGGGTCGCCCCAGACTGGACGGCAGGACGGCGATGCGAATCGGGCCCTCTCTCCACCATGCCATCATGGAAATGGAAACAACGGGACCGGGGTATCAGGCTCGGAAATCACCTCGCCTGAGGTGGCCCGTCTCCGGATCGTCCACATTCTTGACTGTCGTCAATGTGCATGATCGACGCGGGTGGGCCGGTATGATCGACCTCTGTTGATGGTTCTCTGCCGCCTGCCCACACAACAGGAGTACAGCCATACCCAGACGACATTTCCCATTTTCTTAGGTTCCACACACCCCAGGACCACGAACGCACAAGACCATTAAAAGCAACTCACGTGAACCACGGGTTATTGCCACTTGAAGCCCGCCGCGCGGATGGCAAGTCGTCTTCGTGAACGGTCTGACCCTGTCCCGGATTGTCCCTACCAAGCATCACATGCTTCACAGGAGCGATTTACATTTGAGGTCTAGAAAGACTAAAGTTTAAAAACTTGAGTTTTTCAGTCTAGTTAGTACTCTATGATAAGGTATTTTTCAGTCCCAGAGCCCCACGAAGTCTCGGCAGCCGGTTGCCGAAGAGTTGGGTTCTGCATGGCCCTCGTCGATGCCCAGTCTACCAACTCGGGAGACGGTGGGCATGCTTCAGATGCGGGGTGCCGCCACCGCACTCTTACCAGATGCAGTCCGTGGAGTGCGCGCCCCCTTCCGTTTCTCACGCTTACCCATTTTATCTATTTCGTGTGCTTTTGATCCTAGCGTTTCATTTGACAACGGCCGTAGATCCAAACACAGTGCCAATTTCCCCTACAAAGCGGAACCAATCCAAGAGGTTGTGAAAGGAGAAGCGACTTTCAGAAGCTCTTGGCTGCCGTGACCTCGAACTTCAAGTTCATGTCGCGAGATTGGTCATGCGGAAGAAATTTGGACTTTTTGGGTCCTTTTTGGAGGCATTTTGGCGAACATTTGGAGATGGGTGTTGCATTCCGTGACCCGCTGTATGGTCACTAGGTGGCTCCTTCATGCCTAACTAATGCTAGAGTCGTGGGAATTAGGGACGGGGAAACACGGCAAGACGGAGTAGGCCCAGGGACACGCTGAAGAAACGTGGTTGCTACAAGTGGGTGTGCTGTAGGTGATGCACTTAGGGAAAAAAGAGTCTTGAAAATCAATATAAAATGAGGATTTCCACTCCAACTACCAGGACCTCGGGAACAACTGTTCACGATTTCCGCGAGACGCCGACTCTCGAGTTGGTAAAAGCCGGAAGTCTCACTCCTCCTTCCCACAAGCTTTGAACCAATTACTGTTTTTCTTGCTCCATCATCACCCATTTGTCATGTTTGGTTCTGGGCATGGCTCCGGCCATACCCGCCACAACGGCCACAGTCACGGGAACCATCACCACGGCTCAAAGTCCTCAAAAAGCAAATCCCAAGGGGCAGCTCTTGTCTCAGGGGTCAACCTGTACTCCTTTCTATTCGTCATCAACGAATTCGTTGTCAACTACGAACCACTTGAGGGCCAAGACCGTCCCCTGAGGGACCCGTGGCTTAATATCATACCCCCACAAGACGCAGCGGCATACACCGACGAGCTCGTTGGGACAGTTTTCCGGTACCAGAATGGGCATGTCTCCCCAGCCCAAGGCTACTTTTGGTATGCGAATATCCGCGCTGTGCCCTGGAATAAACCGGGTTTTGGTTTGATGGAGGCCTCGCCGACAGGGACTAACTGGCATGATGATTCAGGCACCGACCTGCCATGGGCCACAAAGGATACATCGTCCGATTGGACCCAGACGGCAGTGTTACCGGGTATCCGGGAGAATACAAGGCACAGACCGTCTTTGCTTGTTCGTCTCTCCTCCCTATGATTGTGACGAACAGCGATGCTTCGCTCGGGTCGGCCTCAATGTGGCAAACCCAAGCATGCGCTGCCTGCAGCCCACAATATCAAAACCAAGAATACACCCGGTGGTGGCACCTGCATTTCACTCAAGGCGACTCCCAAGGGAGCGGTATCTCTTCCGTCAACTCTGTTGCTTCGGGTTGCCCGTATGTCGTGGGCAAGGACGCGGCATGGATTCCGTCCTTGGTGCCCAGTGCTTATCGGAATACTAGTGTCAACGCGGTCCCTTCAACTGGATTGTCGGGAGATCTGCCAATTATCCTGGCCTTGATGGGCTTTCATGGAGCACTGGGGAGGGCGAGCGACGTATTTCACCACCAAAAATGGAGTATGGGTAGATGGAACGGAGGTGGGAGGGCTTCCAGTTATCGTATGGACTTACTTCTTATCCATTTTTCTTTTTCGAAGGTATTCTAACAAGCGTAGTTCCTAGATCGGGCGAAAGCCCTCGCGGCCTCTTCGTTCAGGTATGCGCCGATAACTTGGTAGAGGGCCTTCAAGATTGTGAAGAGAACAACCTCCCGGAAGCGGTCTGGAATCAAATGCTTCGCGAGCTCGAATGCTGCACGATCCTCGTTCAAGGATAAGATGGAACCCCTTGGTTGTCGCTCGACGTCGATCGCCCCATAGCTTCTGCCTTTCACAAGCCCAGTATTTCATCGTTTTTGATGCTGTTAGGGGGCGGGATATTGATGCGCACGTTGGTTCGTCGTCGCTTGGGCTGGTTTCTGATTCAGGTATGTGTGTATGCTCGTGGTACTATTCTCATTGATTTCCTTGGCAATCCAGCGATATAGGATGGGCAGATCAACGCCTCGAATCAACAGATGTTTGGTTTCAATTTGGAGAAGATATGTCGACATGATTCTGAATTGTTCGTAGTATTCGTGCTCGTTTGTCGACTCTAATTAATAGTCAGACTCCACCTCGCCTTCACACATGAGGCACCTGACGCCGCAGCGGGCCTCTGAGAGCCCGACAGCGTACTTGGAAAGCTACCCATCATCAAACATACAAAGGAGGAAAGGCAAAATCGAGCCACAGAAAAGGCCCTCCCTAGTTTCCTAACCCGGCTCGTACCGACCACATCGCAAGCACCACTAGTGGCGAACGCATCCCAGGCCCCGAGTGCCTCAGCTCGTGTTATACCGCATCAGGTAACCTAACGGCAATATCTCCAGATTGTGTAATGTAACGCACCCATGGCAAGGAGGGGTATTGTAACTAAAAGGATTTGGATTAGCGAAATTCCTTCTGACGGGGGTTTGAAAAACGTACCTTTGGTTCCGTGATCTTCAAATACCGGACCTGAATTCCACTCGTCGTGAAGTAAGGAATCTCAAACTTGACCTGAATTGGGCGCTTCGCTCCCTTTCCAGGAGCCCCAACACCGCCCATGCTCCCACCGAACCCGCCAGTCATGCCACCACCATGCTCATCGTCACCCCGGACACTGGGAAGGCCCAACTCGGCACGCATGAGAAACTCCTTGCCACCACCAAACTGTTTAATCTTCCATACGATGGCACTTTGCTCGGGGGCGTAGTGCACCGAACCGACGTTTGTGCGGAAGCGTGGGGTATCGGCGTCATCGGGGACAGGTACTATTATTTCGACATTGTTGGCCGTGCTGCGGCGCTTGAACTGGGCCCTTGCTTTGAGCATGTACTCGATACGGGACCCGCTATGCGACTCGACGACACATTCCACCCAGATGAGAGGCTTGACCTGGGTGTTGAGGCGGTATGACATGAGCTCGAACTCTCCATCAGGCGGGATGAAGCTGATGGTGCGGTCGTTCTCGAACCGCGAGAGCCGCACACACTGGTGGAACTTGACGTCCTCCATCTCGATCGCTTTGCCGCGCGTTGTCCGCCCCGTGGTCTCGAACATGACCTTGTCATTAAGCCCCAACCGCAACTCAGGCATGCCCGACAAATAGCATTTCATCTTGATGGCCCCCAAAATTTCAGAACGGAGTACATTGCCGTTGGCAGACACCAGAAGGTTAAGGGATTCGACAACATCAAGAAAGACTTCGTTCTTCCGGTAACGGATACCCTCAGAACGCCATGAAACAGCGTTCGTAACGGCGATAGGCGGCCGGGCTTGTATCTCGAGTTTGTGCGACTCTTGCGTGATGTACTCTTGGAGGATCTTTGACTCGGTTGTCTGGGGGTATCCAAAGTCCATCATTTCGTCGAGGAGTTCGTAGATGATAACAAAGTTGTCGCGAATTGACTCCTCTTCCAGGGCCTTGAAATATTCCGTAAATACCTCCACAATCTTGTGGAGAAAGAGAAGAATTTCGGCAGCATTGGTGTTTCGTTTCGTGAGCGCGAGTAGATAAAGATTGTTGTGTCGGATATAGAGGTACTGGGAGCGCCGAGTGTTAGTCAAATGCATCAACGACATGAAGCTTGGGGATCTCGAGTCAGGGGAAGTGTTACGTTGATGCCCTCGTGGGAAAAACAAGGCGGAACTGCGGACGATTCCTCTTCAGCTTCGCTAAGGAGTACGGGGAACTTTTCGACCGCCGACATAGGAATGTCTCCCCTATAGTTGCGGGCCAACAGGGTCTTGCCCTTGAGGTCCAGAAAGAAGACGGCTGACGCCATGGCAAGGAGCTTGGCGAGCGTATTGGTTGGCAAGCGAGTTGCAAACTGGTGGGAGGTGCCGGGCGAGGAGGCGTAACTCGAAGCCGTTCGCGTTCGCGTCGCCCTGCAGTCAAAGGTGGGATTCTAAATCGGCCGTTGAGGTTGAAAGTGTTCTTGGTGCTGGTTCCACTCCTCCCAGCAGCACAGTTCCGAATGCACGGGCCCAGGATTGCTTCCGCTGGAACCTCCACTGGAAACATCCCCCACGGTCCGGCGGGGCATCGGAGATGGTTAAATTTTGCTCCGGTTCCATTCTTTGTGGGGCTTCCCAAGTGGGTCCCATGCTTTCCTCATCAAAAAAAAACTTTCACACAGGTCTTCGCTCTTTCTTCCCTCTCGCTTCAACGCGCCCAATAGACAGTGCAGTCCATCGTATGCACAACTGGAGCCGGCATTCTGTCGTGTTTCCGATACGTGTTAATGTTGATGAAGTCTGCGATTTGGAGGCGCGGAGAGGAATTTCACGCGGCGCCATAAGAACTGCCCGAGTACTGTTGCTCCTTGGGGCGATTTCCTTGTTACTTGGGCGGCGTCAGAGGCGCCGAACATACGGCTCAATTCCAGCACTCTTTCACCAGGGTTCAACGATTGCACCCCCAACTTCAGCCAGGTGTTTCTAATTTTCGTTCCCGCCGCCGTTAAAACTCCTAGGTAGGTGGCCGATGGCTTGCCAAACTAGAAAACCTGTGATTTTCCGGGGTATTCCGTCTTGCCTAGGTAGCTTACTGAGGTGCTTGGCTAGAGCCTTGCAGGTCGCCCAGAGACGTGCCTGATGTTCGGTATTCGTACCTGCGGCGCAAACCAGAAGCATGCGCCGTTTCAGGAGAAATGTGGAGAGGATATTTGGTGTCTTGAGGCCGCCCTGTAGCTACCCTCATGTCCGTCGGTTTGATTAGAAGCTTGAGTTCCACTGTTAAAACCTGAGCAAAGATGATATTCGGCCCGAAAACATGCCGCGCTCAGCAGACGCAATGCACACAAAAAAGAAATATTCATGTGTCTGCGTCCAGCACTCCTCGCGAGACGAACACGTCCTAGCGGAACGGTATGGCGATAAGTTGTTTGCGAAAAGAAGAAAATCGGCCACTCGGCCAGGTCCCCAGAGGAGTACTACGATCCTTGCCTTCGAGACTGGCAAACTTTATTTACAGCAGCAAGGGGTCCCTGAAGGACGAAATATCAACTCGACGGAACATGGATGAACCTCTTGTGTTGCATGTGAATGTTTGGTGGGTCGGGCATGACAAAGCGCGGCCGAGCCGAGCAGCGGGACGGGAGCTCTGACATGTGCTTGTCAACGCCACCAAATTCGTGGAGCAGTGTATTCGTAGTTCTCAGAGGTCGGGAATGCGCTGCTATCATAACCAACCGTCGTCCCCCTCCTTGGATCGACGGCAGCGGCTAGCCTGAAGCCGCCAAAACCTAGCCTAGCTCCTGGTAAGCCATGACACAGAGATTATTCAAATGGCAGGTCGGAGGATCCATCTCCTTTGCCGTCTCAACAGTTCATCCCCGCATTCGAGGTTGTGACGGAGTGGAGAGGGCGAAGTCAAGGGTTCCATCATTTGCACGCCTCCCTCGCCGGTACTTCGTCCCGAGGGAAGAGCCCTAGGAAGCGAGAAGCTTAATGCTCTGGGGAAGTAATTGTCAGTCAAGGAAGCTTTGTGTCCGGTTCAATGGCAGATCGACCCAAAGCGGGAGACCAACTTTGAAAGATTAATGCATGCGAGCATCTCAAGCTGAAAATCGAAGCACCGAACCTTCGAAATGCCCCGGGAGAGGGACCTGAAGACAGGAGTTAGCAAGCGGTGGGTGGGTCCTCGCCGTTAGGGGACCACGCTGCGCCTGACCTCACTGAGTGCAACATCCCGAACCAGTGGTTCCCCGCGCAAAGCGCTTGCAAGGCCAATCCACCCCCCCGTCAAGACATGTGCAGTCGACAGTTCTTCACCGGGGTTTCCACGCCCCCCCATCAGCGTTTGCCCCCCCCCAATCTGCCCACGACTTCAACCAACATTCATCAGTAGTTTTCCAGAACACGCGGCACACAACAAACCAGAGCCCGCGATTGCATTCCACGAAACCTTCGGCGCTACGGTTTCCTGTCCTTTGGGCCTAAGACTCGTGTTCGCGTACGAATACTTCGACTCGAAATCTCCTGCTTGGTGATCCCAGAGTGCATCTTCACCCCCCCAGGTGCCCCGCCGCCCGAGGGTTCCCACGACTTCCGACAGCCCCATTCTTCCTTGCCTGACCACTGTTTTGTTGCGGGCAGACGGGCAATTTATCTCGTGATAGTCGCATCGGAGACGGCCGCGATCGCTGACTTCAATCCTCGCCGAGACACCGGTTTTCGGGTGAGCCCGCATCTCCTCCAGCCTCGCCTGGAAGGACGAAATCGACGACTGCACGACGGGCCAAGCGTACGGGACGCGACAACCGGCCAGGAACTCGATCCCGGTTTTCAGGGCGCCGACGAATTGCTGTGATGCCAATTCAGAAGTGGTCTTGAACGCGGATACCGCTCGCTGAGATCTGCCGCTAGGGGCGACCAGACGTTGAAGACCACAGCGCATCACATGCCGACCGCCTATCGCCGAACGAGAGTCGCCAACGCAACACACCACACCACAACCTCAACGTGTAAAACGCGATCCGGCAGTGCTCCCTGACGAAGGACATAACCACCGCTGCGCTCGGGCAAAGCAGTCGCAGACAAATTAAAAGTAAATACACAACATGCCGGGGCCGCCCGATCACCATGTCGACAATCGCAGAGCGGCTGGCGATTTCTCGCTCCAATTGCCACCTCTCGCGCCGCAATTCCCAAGCGACCCGACAACAGAACTGCCCCCAATTCAGGTTCCTCGGGAACACTCCCGGACAAACTCAACGCAAACCTTGCCACCACTATCTTCGTTAACTGGCCCGACAAACCATTCGACTCTTCCAAACCCGAGCGATGCCTCCCCCCACCAGGCGCCCTACCCCCACCCACCAACCCACTGGCCCAGCCTTAACCCGTTCACAACATACTACACCCCGAGCTACCTAGATCCGGAGTCATCCCCTAGTATGTCGTCAGACCCGGCTGCTAGCCGCAGCGTCAGCCTAGATGATCCCGATGTTAGGATGGCTGCCGAAGCATTGGGCCAGATGAGGACCGGTACGTCAACCGAGGATACTGTTTGTGTGTAGTGTGTATGGTGCAGTGACGGGCTAACTCTCAGCCGTTCTCGCATAGAAAGCGGTTCTTCACCTCGTAACCGAGAGACCACCCCAAGTGACCGCAAAACACCACGCGATTACCATTCCGCTAGCCCCTCACGGACCAGCAACAATGGCAATGTCGAACCACTCTTGTCCTTGATCACCACAACATACCCATTCCTTGGTAACACGATTGAAGGCGCAGCTTCAGCATACAATACCGGTAAAAATTACTCGCCACATCTCAAATCCGGCGCCGAATATTTCGAGAACTTGGTCAAGCCAGCGGTCGAGACGGTCGGGCGAAAAACAGGGGTAGAGGGGGGGATGAGGTGGCTCCTCTCCATGCGCGGCCGGAAACAACGGCCTTCTGCGGACCTCGAGCCAGACGGACGGGAAAACAAACGCCGCAGACCGGATCTAGAGAACAAGGGACGTGGCGTCTTGAATTCACCTCCTCAAGACGTACGAGGGGAGAGCGAGGACCGGCGCATGTCGATCAGTACCGTCGACACGCTACCCGCTTATGACGACCAGAAATCACCGGCATATACCGAATCAGTCGACGACAAAACCCAGTCTGACCAAAGTCCTTCGCCCAATGGGCAGCAGTGGGGTCAACGATTTGTCGTCACGACATCCGGCCTTGGTGTCGCGATGAAGGACGAGAGCATGAAGAGCCTGCGATACTGCCTCAAAGTGGTCAAGAATACGAACGGGTATCTAGGGGAGGTTCTCGTCAGCTTGAGGGGTGTCATTGATGAATATGACCGCACCACGCCAGGGAACGGCGAAACTCCCGGGGCCACAGAAACCGGCGAACAGCCACCGACACCACGTACCGCCGAGGATCGCAACCGGCTAATTCTGCGCATGACGGAGCTTCGGGATGAGCTGTACACTGTCATTCAGCGCACGGTGCAGACCGTTTCCAAGTACACGGGGAGTGCTTTACCCGAAAACGCCAGGAACTTGGTCCACAGCCAGCTTATGAGCCTGCCGGCACGGTATCAATTCCATTACCTAAGACAATTTGAGGCTCGGCAACCTAATGCCAGCCCTGACGCCTTTACGCGAGAGAGCGCCCACCTGGCCCTACTTTTCGCGAAGGAGGCGTTGCAAATGACCAACCAAGTTGGCGACGTGCTGAACCGGACGCTCATGAGTGCAGAGCAATGGTGCAACACCTTGTACCGTAAGAATAACGAGCATTCTCCGTCGCCGATCATCACGGACCAGTCCCTGCCGGCCACGCCAGGTACCACCACCGACCGGGATGTCGACATGTCTGGCTAGGCACTAGTCATAAAGCAGGAGACGTGGACAAAGCATCGTCTTGTTTCTACTGCAAGCTTTTCTCGAGCGTGAACCGAACTGCCCCAGTTTTTTTTGGTGACATGAGGATCTGTCCTGGGTATTACATATCTATTCTCCCTCTGATTGACGATTTTGGCGCTTTTTTCTTCTTCTCTTCTTTCTTACCTCCTCCCCCGCTTCTCCCTCCTCGGCCCACGCCCGGGTTGTAACCCGAGTGGCCCGTCCATTCGCTTTCTTCTCTTTGCCTACTAGTCTTCTTTGCACCTCCTGATACCACACGGATACGCCTGCATGTTCCTTGTTGCTTCTGCTATTTTGTTGGGTAGTGGCTGTCGTTTCGTTATAATTGGGTGTGTCGATTAGAACTTCATTGTCTGCTTATGTATAAGTTACAAAAACAGGCGGGTTATCGGTTGTCGCCTGCGGCCCTGAACGAGAAGGTTGTTTCAGTCCAGCACAATTTACTTATTCATTGCAAGTTTCTTCAACGAGCCACGCAAGAATTTCTTGCGTGCTACCCGCTCGGACAACCCTGCACGTGTTGTCCCGGTTTGATGCCCAGGAGAGTTTTTCTTCTCCCGGGCAGTTCAGATCCAACAATTCTTCCGGCAGCTCGTCCCCGTCACCCACAAAAGCTGGAATCCACCCTGCCGTGCGGGCCCCAACCACATCCTTCTCGTACTCATCCCCAATGTAGACCTTGCACCAAGTCGCGGCAGTGGCCTGTTCTACAGACTCAACCCCTTCTTGTGTGGCAACCAACTGAGTTGCGAGGCCTTCCGCGGCGTCAAAGATTTGCCGGTCGGGCTTGGCAAACCCGACATCATAGGACATACAATGTAGGTCAACGTCGTATTGTTGCTCCCTCACAACATGAGGCTGTTCAATGTCGGTCCCAAAACGCAACGGGCTAACGTTGAAGCCGAGTGAAGAGAGGATACTGGGGACACGGTCGTCGGAATTGGTGATGACACCGACTACGACGCGGTGGAAGTAGGCCCGGGTTGGCTGATGGTGGCGTTGACCTTGGTGCTTCTCTTTGAGAGTTCGAATGAGAGGTAACACTCCCGGAGAAACGGTATACCCTTCGTGAGATGCGAAACGATGTAGAAGGGTGGGAGCCAGCTGCTTGGGGAGGTCCACACCAGTTCCGACGAGGGGTTGAAAAGTTTTGTGAATGACCTACAGAGAGTCAGGACGGTCAGGTTCAATCAGTCAGGAGGAGGAATGTCCTGCTCACATTAGTCCACCAAGTCGTGGCGCCCATGCCGCTTGATTTCCCGTAGTTGGGATAGGCTTTAATCTCGGAAGAAAAGGCGGCCCTGAAAGATGCTGCGACGTCTTGCGAGTTGAATCCCTGGAGCCCACATTGTCGGGCAACGGCTGTGTACTGTTCGTGGATGGGGCTTTTAGGGTGGAAGAGGGTCCCGAATGCATCAAAACAGAGGAGGAGGTTCCGGCGCTCCATCATAAGGGCTTTTTGAGGGTTGCTGATAGGAGTGATGTTGAGTAGCTCGTCAAGTTCAAGACTAGGTACCGAGGGAAAGCGACACCGAGTCTTGGCTGCGGGGCGTTCCTATTGGCACAGCGAGACTGACGACAAGAGGTGTAATTAATAAGATCCAACTTGAGACAACGGCAATCCAGAATGCCGACAACTAATTACCTCTTTTTAGCCCCAAACCGTAACCCGAACACGAAACTCAGAACCCCGCCAAGTACCTACCCTTCCTCGCTATGGCCAACAAAAGCGGCACACCCAAACAGATGGCTCAAGTCCAATCCATTAACATTCGATAAAATCTTGGTAGATTTTGATTGATTTACTCTTTTTTGTCTTCTTTTACGTTACTTGTTTTCGTTTATTCTTTTTGGTCTTTTTTCACTTTTGTAGCAAAGTAGGTTAATTATCCAGGGACTTGGTCTGCCGCTTTTTTTGGCCATAGCGAGCCTTCCACAATTATTCATTAACTCTACAGTCAATAATAATAGTTTATGATCCGGTATTTTAGCACCACTCCTTAATATCATGTCTAATCATCTGAGATTCCGAGCAGACACACATACTTACTTACCTAACTTAGATAGAGCGCTTTGACGCTTTCGAAAATATCCAATGCACCAGCCCAAATAATTACGCCTCGGTCGACCATCCAGACCCAGGCGGAGATCTTAAACTTTGTCATCACCGCCACCAGGTCCTCGCCATTAGCCTCGACGCCGAAGGAAACGACAACCAAACAGTCCCAATCGAACTCTGCCATTGGTGCCCGTCCACGGTTCGGCGCCTTTTTACCGATGCCACGGCCACCATCGTAGCTGGCGAACACTTGTTCTCGTCTCTTGGAAACATGGTAACGTACCTTATAAGCGAGCCGAACATATAATAAGCGAGCCAAACACTCTCCACCACTCTACAAACACTATCCTCCATTGCAGCACAACAACACTAG